AAGGTGTATATATAGGGTTTTTGGATCAAATTTAAACAATAATTATTAATAAAGCATAATATGTGATCTACAATAATAATATAGGATAGCAATTTATAAATTACTCTTTTGAGAAATAGAATATCTATATCTAATATATACTACTTTTGTAAAACAAAATATATAAATATATATAGTTGTATTTTAAAGTGCATTTTTACTTACACTTCGTTTTATAAAAGTTCCTTATTTTTTATTTATTTTTGAGGACCCATGATAATAATCTCCCATACCTTAGTGACTCTTTCTTTAATGTTATTGTAAATTATTAATTATTTCTGTAATACCTTTTATTATAAAACGTATTGCGGTTTCTCTTTTTTTGTAACTATAAATTAATTTTGTATAACATCTCTTTCCATAAATGTATTCATTAAAAGATAATACATATATTTTTCTAATATTTTGGCCGTAGTATTTATCATTTTAAATATAGCATGTTATAAATTTATAGCAAGTTGCTTTGTATTGATTGATTTTTATGTAATTAATTTTTATCTTTTTAAGCAAAGTCGTCCAATTTTACTTAACAAATTACTTTTTTCTAATAATCTTAATTTTAAGTTATTAATATTAATGTATAAATGTAGAAGTTATAATTTACCTTTTAATATTTCATTGCAATAGTTACATTCTTTTCATTTTTTGGTCTTAACTAACCGTGAACGCAGTAAATAGTTACTGCTTGGTCAGTAAATCAAAATAACTATTCAATAAGCATCTCATATTTTTTTATATCTTTTTTTATATGGTGTTTTGACAAATGAAGATGACATGGGCCTTGAAAAGAATGGGTCTGCCGGCTGATGAAGAATTAGTGAGGAACACACGCCATATATATATATATATATATATATATATATATATATATATATATATATATATATATATATATATATATATATATATATATATATATATATATATATATATATATATATATATATATATATATATATATATATATATATATATAAAAGTTTTTTGATGAAATTCTTAATTACTCGACTAATGTTCCTTTTATTTATAATAAAGACATAATAAATATATATTATACTTCTAAAATAACCAACTTGATATTCTCCTTTCCTTTTATGTTTGTTGAATGATTTTGAGATTTAAGAAATTATTCTTGCATTTCCCTTAACATACCATTCCTGTCAGCGGTGAGCCTATTGACTTCTTCTACCGCCGAAATTGATACATCCCTTATAATCATAATTAATGTGGTTTTTCTATAATGCTCGTATGAGGTATTTTTCAAAGAAGCATAATAATTGGTATTATATCAATATTCCAGCCATTTTGTGCACTACTTTGATTTGCTTTCAATGATCTGAAAGGGTGACTCGTTGAAATAAAATGTGCATACTTCTCCTACAACTCCCCCACCATCACGATATTATACACTAGTAACCTTAGGTAACCCCCAATGAAATCCATCGAAATGTCACTGTATATTTATGTAGAAATAGACATTGGTTTCAAAGGACCCCTAGACTGAGAGTTTGATATTTGTTCCTTTAACATACTTCCCACAAGCTTGTACAATTGTTGTGTCATGCATCACATATAACTATTATGTCATGTATCTCTTTCTAATAAACTAGTCAAACATTTCTCTTTTAAGTCTTGAAATACCAAGAATTCCCCCAACTGTTGTGTCATGCTCTCAAGTAAAATCTAAAGAATTCTAAGTGAATTATTTAAAAGTATAATTCTGTTAATAAATTATTCCAGTCTTCATCTGATAACCCTAGTGGCTATTAGGATCTACTAATACATCTCGTACTATTTTCTTCAATTTCTAATCAACTTGGATTTCTTCGTTTAGTCCCTCTCATGCATCACATTGCACTTTGAAAATGGGAGCATATTGCATTTCTCTAGATGGTATATATCTTGCATTTTTTTTTCTGTGACTTATACTTAATCTCAAAGTCATATCTCAGCAGCTTGATAATCCATTTTTGGTTGTTCTTCTCTCATTGCTCTCTTCATTCATTCTAATGTGATGATAACCTAACTTGACATCTAGTTTAGAAAAAATAATAGTGTCACCTAACTCACCCAGGAATAAATGCGTAAAATACCGGTACAGACTTCCGCAAACAAAAAGAAGCTACCACATACAGTTCGAAAAGCTTCATTACTTCGACACAAAATAATAAAAAAAAAATACCACCTCTGAATTCATTTATTTGGAACGAAAGGAACCAAACATGGTATGATAGAAATTCCAACTAGAACTGAAGCTACAAAGCTCTGAACTTTACGTGCAAATAGCCACAATATCGACTTCTATCTCGAGATAAGCATCTCCTAAAATCAACACATGATGATAGCATAAGCATTGTAATATATATTTAACATGTAAACCTTATAAATAAAAGGAACACTAGTCCAATGGTTAAGAATCTCGCCCACCTAAAGTTAGGTATTGAGTTTGAATTTTGTTGATAGCAAAAATTAAGACATCTTCAATGTTTTAGTATCAAAAATAACAAAATTAAATTTTATCCTGTGATGTGAGTGACTTTTAATTTACCCCATCTTAATAAAAAAATTTTCTTTTAAAAATATCACGTGAAATTTTTATTAATTATTTTTACTATTTGCTACCGTAAAATTTTTACTTAGCGTTAAAATATTAAAATAATAATAATAATAATAATAATATTATTATTATTATTATTATTATTATTATTATTATTATTATTATTATTATTATTATTATTATTATTATTGTTTTTGTTGTTGTTGTTGTTGTTGTTGTTGTTGTTGTTGTTGTTGTTGTTGTTGTTGTTGTTGTTGTTGTTGTTGTTGTTGTTGTTGTTGTTGTTGTTGTTATTATTATTATTATTATTATTATTATTATTATTATTATTATTATTACTATTTTATAAATATTATTATTATTATTATTATTATTATTAATATTATTATTATTATTATTATTATTATTATTATTACTATTATTATTATTATTATTATTATTATTATTATTATTATTATTATTATTATTATTATTATTATTATTATTACTTTTATTATGATGATGATGATCATCATCATCATCATCATCATCATCATTATTATTATCATTATTATTATTATTTTAACCAAATCATTTTATCCAAAAACTAATAAACTATTAATTAAAAAAAATTACTTGTAACAAGAATAATATTTAACATGTATTTTGTATTCAAGTATACACCATAAACCAAATATATTTTTAATTATTCAAATTCACATACTTAAATAATTTATAAATCATGCATATATAAATTTATTTCAATGTTAAACTTAACATACATAAATATTATTTTCAACATATTTTACATGGATTTAAAATATCAAATAAATAACATTTATTTAATATAATTATCTACCTTTCAGTATCGTTGAAAATTATTATCATTTCTTTGAAGGTGCATACTTTTATATTAATTATAAATAAAGTATGATCGAAATCGAAAATCAAACCTAAAAATGATTAGATCTTTTGTTGGGAGTCTGATGCAAAAATTGAGTAAAAAAAAGATGAACATGTTATGATGAAAATTGCACAAAATAAATTTTAAATCGTGTGTTTACACTAAGCTTTAAGTTCGATTCACATCCACCAATTTAGGCAAATTGGATGCAAATCGCTAATCTGGAAAATCCCCTTCAGGATACTTTGAAAAGCTTAATATGAATTACACATTTTTATTAAACATGTCGATCAACTATATTTTACGAAATAAAGTTCCTTCACTTATTCTCGTACACTAGAAAAATAAAGGAATGACTTAGATGTATATTTTGACTCTTGAAAATGAAGGTGAAAGGATATATATATATATATATATATATATATATATATATATATATATATATATATATATATATATATATATATATATATATATATATATATATATATATATATATATATATATATATATATATATATATATATATATATATATATATATATATATATATATATATATATATATAATGGTGAGAAAAGGAAACATAGAGGTTATGCGGGGTATTTTAAAGAAGATAAGAATAATCATACAACTGAGAGAAGTGGACAACAAAGAGAACAAATGAGAATCCAGGAAATTTATTCTGAGAGAAGACACCATAAGAATTATGAAAAGAACCACATAGATTATCATGAAAATAATGTTACATATGAAAGTGGCAAGATTAAATTTCCTTTATTTTATGGTAAATCCATAAGCATACTTTGATTGGGAGTTTATGATAAACCAATTATTTGAAGCTCACCACATTAGATAAGAAAGAAGAGTTAAGTTAACTACTATGGGAAAACCCAAAATTTCCAGAATCTCTAACACAAAAAGAAATTCCTAATTCCATAACCCTAACCCTAATTTCTTCCATTCTTTTCTAGATTTTCATCAATTCAAAGTTGCATGTTTAGATTCCATGAAGATTCGGAGGTTATCTTCGGCTTAAATTCCTAGGTTTCGAGTTTAGGGGCCTTGGTAATCTTCTGGTTTTTATTTGGATCGAGACAGCGGTGTTACCATGAATTGGGAAAGGGTTTCCGGTAGAAAGGTTAGAAGTGGAGGTTTTTCAGTTTGGAAGGAGAACAAAGGAAAATGAGCTTCTTCTGGTGAAACTACGACTTCATTTTTTGTCACTGAGTTTCCTGAAAACTTGAATGCTAAAGACCTGCTTGAGGTCTTCAAGGTCTACGGAGTCATATCAGAAGTTTTTATTTCTTCTAAGAGATATAAGCGAGGTAATAGATTCGGTTTCGCCAAATTTCGGAAAGTTCATGATCCAAGAATCCTGGCCTGTAACCTAGATAGTATCGTCTTGGAAGGCAAAAATATTTACGTTAATATACCTAGGTTTAGAAGGAGAACAAAAGGCACCATCCAGATAGTGAAAATTTGAGGAGTAAAATTCAAACTGGTCGCTCTAGGAACTTCATGAAACCTGATAATCTGGATAGGTCTTTTTCCAAAGTGGTAAGAGGAGATTACCCTAAGTCTGTTGATAGGGCCAAGGGAGGAGTTCAATGCATAAAACTTGAGTTGGATGATGAATGGTCAAGGAGGTTGAATCGTATGAGAGTGGGTGAAGTCATGGAGGATGGTAATGCTTTCAACATTCAGAAGTTAATTTTTGAAGAAGGTTATTTTAACATTAAGGCTACTCCCTTGGGAGCATCTCTGTGCTTGTTGGAAGATACATCAAGAGGAGACTTAGAAGTGTTTGTCAAGGAAGCTAGAGAATGGATAGATATTTGGTCCAGAGACATCCGCAAGTGGCATATGGAGGAAATTGACAGAGTCCGAATAGTGTGGGTAAATTGCTATGGTCTACCTTGTGTCGCCTGGAGTGAGAAAAATTTCAGGCAGATTTCTTCTAGTCTGGGATCGTTTGTTAAGTGTGATGAGAAGACGAGGAACAAAGAGAAATTGGACATAGCGAGATTTCTTATTAAAACAAGACTCAGGAATATTCTAAATAACTTGATTGACATTGAAGTGAATAATCACAGCTTTTCACTATCATTCATAGAAGACCTTTCATGTGGGCGTGGAGATCCTTTGTTTGGTGAAGAAGATGAGGTGATAGATTCAGATAAATTTGACTCCTCAAACCCTTTAGAATTAGATGGCGCGTGGGAGATACCTGAAGAAGAAGAAGAAAGTGACGATCTCAAATCCTTGTACTCTGAGACAGAAGCCAGGGCACCTAATACTGTTGTCCAAAAGGAAGATGGTGATTTTTCTGTGTCAGACAATGTATCAGTTGTTGGGGATAACTTAGGGTTAAGTGTGGAAGGTGATGGGTCAAGAGGGAATAATCATAAGGGTTCAGCCGCTCTGATTAGTTCAAAAGGAACTAAACTAGATAACTCTCTGGCTGACCTAGAACTTAATCAGTCCAAAGTAGATTTTGAGGTACCCAGTCTTAATAGGGAATTGGTGGTAGATCTGGGCCTACCTCTTCCAATTAGTGGGTCTTCTGGAGGAGTTATTGGGCCTGCTGTTAGAGGTAAAGCTAAAAAGAAAAAACATCTTCATGAGGTTTATAACTGCATTAAAATACCCTACACCCCCTCTTATTTTTCCACTCTGCTTCTCACGTCCCCCAAGGAAAACCTTAGACCTGAGTCGAAAGGAAAAGCTAGGGAGGAAAGTAAGAAGAATAAGTTGTCTAAAGAATTTTCAGAGTCTAGTTCAGTTATATTGTGCCGCGAATCGATAACGACACTAATATGGAGAGAGGTAACTCGAGATGCAGAAGGGCCATTGTCGAAGTTACATCTAAATTGGGTGATTTTCTTAAGGTTCTGGGAGTTCAGGGCGAAGATGAAGAGGTTATTGGGCGAACTCTAAGGAATTTGAATAACACAGATAAGGATGCTGGTCTAGGCAAGAAGGATGTAGCTATAATTGATCCATGAATTTAATCTTTTTCAATGTTAGAGGATGTTGTAGTTCCGTCAAGAGAAGGAGAATAACTCAAATTATTCATAGAGGAAGCGCCTACATTTGCCTCATTCAAGAAACCAAGATTATCAAGATTGAGGCTGGTATCGTATACAGCATGTGGAGGAATTTTGACTTGGATTGGTCAGCTCAGAACTCTGTTGGAAACTCTGGTGGAATTCTAACCATGTGGAATACTGCTAGAATCTCTTCTTGTTTTAGTTTTTGTGGGAAAGGATTCTTAGGTCTGCACTTTGTATGGAATAATCATAGGTTGATGGTGATCAACGTTTACGCTCCATGTGGATCAGCTGCTAAGAGGAAGCTGTGGAGAGATCTGATTAAAATTAAAAACAGTTACTCTGATGTTGGTTGGATTGTGAGAAGGGATTTTAATGCGGTGAAAAATAGGGAGGAAAGGAGAGGCCTAAGTGGTTATAACTGTAGGGATATGAAGGATTTCTGTGAATTGAGGAAATGAATTTGACGAATCTACTGGTGTTTGGAAGCCGTTTCACTTGGTTCAACTCTAACGGTAAGAGCATTAGTAGACTGGATAGAATTTTGGTTGATGACAGGGTTATATCAATGTTTTCTTTGAAGAATCAAGTGGTGGAGGATAGAGACATATCGGATCATCGACCGGTGTAGTTGAAGTCAAATTTCATCAATTGGGTACCAAAACCATTTAGGACTTTCAAATGTTGGTTCTATCACAAGGATTTCATCCCTTTCCTTACGAAATCGTGGAGCTCTTACTAATTCACAGGTTCATATTGCAGCATCCTTACTAAGAAATTTCAAGCTCTTAAATCTGACCTCAGGATTTGGAATCTCAAAGTGTTTGGTTGGCTGAATTTAAACATTGAGGATAATATTGCTAAATTCAACAAGCTGGAATTGGAATCAGTCGAGGACTCAAATTCTCAAGCTACTGATCTGGACAGAGAGAAACCGCGATACCAGGAGGAAATATGGAAGAATATGCGAGTCAAAGAAAGCATGATAGCCCTGAAATCCTGGGTTAGTTGGCTTCAAAACAGGGATCTTAATACCAAATTTTTTCATGACTCCCTTAAATCCAGGAATCGGCCGAGTCGTCTCTCAGTTTTTAGAGTGGGAGGCAGGATTGTGGAAGACCCTGAGAATATTAAGTTTGAAGTGGTGAAGTTCTTTAAGGGTAAATACACGCAATCAAATTCGGCAAAGTTCAGAAGTGATTTAGCTTTGGCTGCCTGTCTTAATGAGGAGGACAATCTATTTTTGGAAGAAGATTTTAGCCCTTCTAATGTGAGAAATGTTGTCTTCAATTGTGACGGTAACAAGTGCCCCGGGGTCATCTGGAAGCAAAAATTACATCTGCAAGTGAAAAGAACGTTAAGACTCTGAACGTCAGAAGCAACATTTCAGAAGACTCTGAGCGCTACTTGAAGAGACTCTGATCTGCTACAGATGACTCTTAGTGATACTAAGAAGAATTTGAGTAAAGAGCATACAACATTGTTTTAGAAGACTCTGGAAGTACTTCACGCTGCAAGTACAGAGGCTCTGATATTCAACTCTGCGCTGATTGTTACATTCACGCTTAAAGCACTATTGCTGCAAGACTCTGATCTGAAGAACAAGGAACTACATCAGAGGATCTGATGTTAGTTTATTTAGTTGAAAAGATGTCAGCTCAAGGAAAAGATCCGTTGCTAATCCCAACGTCTGCTCCAACGACACTATTCCTTATTTATGCATGTCACAAGAATTCAGACAAAAAGCACTTGTCTGAACATTCCTCTTACTGGAAAGGAAAAGTCAATAGAAGACAAAAAGGGAACAGAGGCAGCAGAACATACAGCAATGCACAGTCTTTGAGAGAAGGACTTGAAGTAGTATTTAAATAAGCTTCAGCATCTTTCCAACGTTGACGCACATTGATAAATCACTTGAAAGAAAAACCAACTTACAAGCTCTCATTCAAATATTCTTCAAAGCTTACAGTTTTCATATTTGGTCTTAATCTTGTGTAAACATCACTATTGTGATATAGCTTATTAGAAGCAAAACATTAAACACAAATTGTTAGTTTATCATTGTAAAAGATTTCCTTAAGAAGACCAAGTTGTGGTCAGATTTTCTTGAGAAGACTAAGACAATTGTCTTAGTGGTTTACACTGTAATCAAGTTTGATATATTGGATTAAATCCTTGTTGAGAAAGGCAAATCACCTAGGTAGGGTGGACTGGATCAGTTTGAGTTCAAACGAACCAGGATAAAAATATCTGTGTTATTTTTTATCTTCCAAAGTGTTTTAAAACCCTTATTCAACCCCCCTTCTCAGTGTTTTTCTCACCTTCAGTTGGCATCAGAGCTCTGGTTCTGTTAGTGCTCTCACTTAACCATGACAGAAAAGATCCAGTTGAGAAAAACTCCTAATATCTTGTTCTTTATTCAACATGGCTACAGAAGCTTCAACTTCAACTTCAACTTCATACAACAACAGATACGATGATAAAGATAGAATCAACACCAAACCTCCAATGTTTGATGGTGAGAAGTTTGACTACTGGAAAGATAGAATAGAAAGCTTCTTTCTAGGTTATGATGCTGATTTGTGGGATTTGGTAACTGATGGTTACATTCATCCTACCAATGATGAAGGGAAAAAGGTTGACAAAAAATCTATGTCTGATCAACAGAAGAAGGAGTTTAGAAACCACCACAAAGCAAGAACCATCCTGTTAAATGCAATATCTCATACTGAGTATGAGAAAATAAAAAACAGAGATACTGCATTTGATATGTTTGAATATTTGAAGATGACTTATGAAAGAAACTCCCAAGTAAAGGAGACCAAGGCTCTGGCCCTCATCCAGAAGTATGAAGCCTTCAAAATGGAGGAGTCTGAATCTATAGAAACTATGTTCTCAAGATTTCAGATCCTAACTGCTGGGTTGAAGGTTCTAGATAAAGGCTACTCTACTTCTGACCATGTCAAGAATATCATCAGAAGTCTGCCAACAAGATGGAGACCCATGGTGACAGATCTGAAGCTCGCGAAGGATCTGAATAAGATCACTCTGGAGGAATTTATCAGCTCCTTAAGGAGTCACGAGATTGAGCTGGAGGAAACGAGCCTCAGAAGAAAGGTAAGTCAGTTGCTTTAAAATCTAACAAATCTGCTAAAGCGTTGCAGGTTATTGAAGAAAGTTCTGAAGAATCTTCAGAAGAAGAAGATGAATTGTCTCTGCTGTCCAAAAGGATTAATCAACTCTGGAAGCACAAACAAAGGAAGTTCAGAAACTTCAAAAGATCTGATCAGCATGGTGATTCTTCTGGACATAAAAAATCTGGAAAGAAAGATATAGTGTGCTATGAGTGGAAGGAGCCTGGCCACTATAAGAATGAATGTCCTAAACTTCTGAAGGAGAAACCCAGAAGTAAGTTTGAAAAGAAGAAGAAAGTCTTAATGGCCACGTGGGATGATTCAGATGCTTCTGAATCTTCATCAGAATCTGAAGATGAGTGTGCTAATGTAGCACTAATGGCTGAGGTGAAGGACCACAAAGAAACTGTTGGATCAGAATCAGAATCAGATTCTGAGGAGGTATTTTCTGAACTCACTAGAGCAGAACTTTGTGAAAGTTTATCAGAAATTCTGGAAAGCTACAACAAAATCAAACTCAAATACAAGAAGCTTCAAAGCTGTCTTGCATCTGAGAATGATCAGCTGAGGTCTGAGGTTGCTGAGCTTAAGTCAGAAATCTGACTCAGAACCTATATCATGCTCTAAAAACATTTTAGAAGAGTATGACTATAGCTTTCAGAAGTTTCTGGCTAGAGGCCTAGATAGAAACAAGATGGCTTCAATGATCTATGGCGTAAGGAGAAACAACAAAAAGGGTATTGGATATGAATCACCTTCTAGGAAGGATTTAAATCCAAAACCTGTTGATAAAATGATCATAAAGTATTCTCCTCTATATACTCATTTCAAATTTGGTCATTTAAATGATATTAAACACACACGTTCTGATCTGAACAAACCTGTGTTTAATAAATCAAAACCTCAGAAGAACAAAGATACCTTCAAGGGAAAGAAATTCAGAAAGAATTTCAAACCTACTAACCCCAAAGGACCCAAGAAAATATGGGTACCTAAGGACAAAATGATTTTTGTTGCAGACATCCTTAGCAGCAAAGTTGAAACACCAATCTTGGTACCTGGACTCTGGCTGCTCGTGACATATGACGGGAAGAAGGTCTATGTTCCAAAGCCTGGAGCTCAGATCTGGAGGTGATGTGAAGTTTGGAGGGAACCAGAATGGCAAGATAATTGGCTCTGGAACTATAGGTAATGGTAACCTCCCCTCCATTTCTAATGTTTTACTTATTGAAGGATTAACACATAATCTATTGTCCATAAGTCAATTAAGTGACAATGGTTATGATATAATATTCAATCAAAAATATTGTAAAGCTGTCAGTCAAAAAGATGGCTCAATCCTCTTTAATGGAAAAAGGAAGAACAACATTTATAAAATCAATCTTTCAGAACTTAAGGTTCAGAATGTAAAATGCCTTCTGTCTGTTAACGAAGAGCAATGGGTCTGGCACAGAAGATTGGGGCATATTAGTATGAGGCGTATATCTCAGATTAATAAACTCAATCTGGTCAGAGGACTTCCTCAGTTGAAGTTCAACTCAAATGCTTTTTGTGAAGCATGTCAGAAAGGAAAATTTTCAAAATCTTCTTTCAAAACAAAAAATGTTGTTTCAACCTCAAGACCATTAGAGCTGCTTCATATTGATCTGTTTGGACCAGTGAAAACTGCATCCATCAGAGGCAAGAAATATGGATTAGTCATTGTTGATGACTACAACAGATGGGCATGGGTAAAATTCTTGAAACACAAGGATGAGTCTCATTCTGAATTCATTGACTTCTGCAAACAAGTCCAGAACGAAAAAGAATTTAAAATTATTA